CATTTTTTTCTCATTCGAGAAAACGTTTTTCAAAGTTTCCGCACAAAATATTCGTCATCATTTTACGTGATATCATTTGCCTAGAAAATTTCCTATTGTCCTTCAGCCAATTACAATCCAGAATTACGATGTGTAATTTACACCGGTGTTACACTTTTTGCACTGGTGTTACACATTTTGCATTAGTGTTACACTTGAACTGCACTGCTCTTAGCCAATCAGAACCGAGTAATTTTTTTTTTATGTATATTATTATTATTATTATTATTACTATTACTATTACTATTATTATTATTATTATTATTATTGTTATTATTATTATTATTATTATTATTATTATTATTATCATACAAAGTAATTCAGTGTTCGTCGAAGTTTATTATCGGACAGCTTCATTGTCTTTCGACTATTCCTTGTTCTCCATGACTAAAAGAACTTAACCCGCCTCCGCCCCTTGCTCCCCCGATAGCCTTTCTACTTATGTGTACTTTTGTTATGCTGCCTTTTTCGTGGCCCTTACCTTTACTAGAGCTTAAATTACTTCTAAATCGTTGGTATGACGACTTTATATACTTTATCAATGATTATTATGTTATGATATAGTTAATTATTAGTTAGTAATTTATCAATTAAAAGCGGCCACGACACATGGCCAAATTATTATCCCAGCGGGTTGCTGTCGTTATTTTAAGCGCTCTAGCAAACAGAGCTCGACTGTTGGCTTAAATCAGTCGTGTAGTCAATATGATTGAAAACCATTCGATGGAAGGGGGCATAAAAGAACTTAAAATAACTTTCACTACACCACACTACAGAGCCATATTGTTAGAGAGAGTCTTAGAGTCATGACTCGTCAAATACTGCACTTTTCCACGCCGTTTAACTATTACACTTTTCGGGATCATCCAACTGTCTATCCTAAAAGTCCACACAAAAGTAAAAGTGGCCAATTTCATTTACACCCCAACAGAAAAAAATCAATAAATTCATATTATCTAACTTCGATTTATTTACTTGCTTGCAGTTTATCCTCAAGTTTCCCTTCAACCGGGACCTGAGTTCGTCACGGAAGGAAGTGATGTCACCCTACCAAACTGTCAAGTGACCGGATACCCGGCACCAGTAGTGACCTGGAGGAAGTCGTCTGGTCAGCTACCCCAGCGGAGGGCGCACTATAACAACAGTGTCTTACAAATTTCCGATGTCCGTAAAAGTGACTCTGACGCATACTTCTGTTCAGCAGTCAACCTTTTAGGAAATGTTGAAAGGAAAACTCAGCTAGTTGTTGTTTCCCTTCCTGTTTTTACCGTTAAGCCACCTGAAAAGGTGTTTGCTGTTACCGGCGACACTTTGACGTTAAACTGCAGCGCTACTGGTGATCCAAGACCAGTCATCAGCTGGAAAAGACAAGGAGCAGAACTGCCCGTGGGGAGGAGTCATAGGACAGAAGAGAAGCTCATCTTAAGAGATTTTAGAGTAGGGGACTCTGGGAACTATATTTGTGTGGCAACAAGTGCAGGAGTGTTTAATATCGAAGCAGTAAGTTATGTGGAATTTGGAAAACCAAAAGGTAAGTTATGAATGGAATTTGAATGATTAACTTTGTCATAAAAAGAGCCTTCAGTGCCTAAGTTGCGTTTCTCATGACGTCGAGTCTATAGTTAGAGAGAAAGTCAGGCGAGGTCGAGCAAAAGGCAAAGAAGCGAGAGCAGTTTTTATTGTGGAGCTCGTTGGTTTAGAGTTGTAACTGGTATGAACAAAACATTTAGGAAATGATTTTTCATTTATTCCTATTGCTTTATGTCCTCTAAAAAAAGGATTCTACTTGTATTTTTTCCCGGGTTTTGACAAGTTGTTCCCGACTTTTCCTTTTCTTGAAGTCTGTCAGTTTCTCACACAGCCTGTAGTTAGGAAAGAGAGCCGGAAGGGTAAACTAAAATATAAGTAAACAAAATTTCAAAACTTTTCTATGTTCGTTTGTTACTTTTTGAAATAACCGAATTTATACCAGGCCAAATATTAGTTAAGAAATTGTCATGAAAAGTTTTTCATATGAACAAAATAGCTTAATTTCTAAGCGCGCCCTTTTCTTTTATCAGATTGTTCTGATCTGCTAAAATCAGGCCATACTCAAAGTGGATTGTACTCTGTCAACCCAGACGGTAGAGGACACTTTACCGTCTACTGCGACATGCGCACTGATGGTGGAGGCTGGACCGTCTTTCAGAGAAGACAAGATGGCTCGGTAGACTTCTATC